CGTTTTTCCCGCCGGTGGCTGAGCCAATGAGTGGAGTCTGTTAACTGACTCCACACCTTGGCCATATTTGGTCATATACAAAAACCCTCCCCTCCTAGTTAGTGTTCCTCCAATCAGCGCTCGCCTACAGTATGTAATCACGTAAGTAGGCGGGGCTTCGGTGGGTGCGATTAGACCTGCACACCTCCCTTGTTCCTGGAACGGTGGCCCGAATGGATGGGTCTGCCGCTGCTCCAGTCCCTGCTTGCGGAACAGTCTCGAAGCCCACTTGTGGTGTGGCAGGGACCGCCGAACCTGAGGCCTCAGAAGAATACCGCGGGACTTCCTTTTCGCAAGATAAGTGTCTCCGCCGTTGTTGTATGGGGGTTGGTGTCTGCACATTGGGTTGTTCTGTTATTGCATGTCGGGTGCCTGGCTGGTTGTCTGAGTTCGAGACCCGGCCTCATAGTTGATCGATGTGGCGTTCCCATAGCTTCCCTTCTTCGGTCTCCACTGTGATCTTGCTTACTCAAGCTGGCACCCATGTTGGTCCCCCAGTGTAGTTATGTGCGTAGACCAGGTCCCCTATTGTGAATTGCCTGCATTTTCCCATGGAATCTGGGGGTGTCTCTGTGCTATAGTTGGGGTGGACTCGGTCAAGCATAGTTCGCAGCCTTTGCACCATTAATAGTTCCGTTGGGCTGCGGTGTGTTGTTGTGTGGGGTGTGATATGTTGGACTAGGAGCATTCTGTCCATCCTTTCCTGCCAGTCCCCTCGGCCCATTTGCTGTAGCATTTCTTTGGTCAACTGGACCATTATCTCCGCTTGTCCATTTGTGGCCGGGTGAGCAGGTGCTGACAGCACGTGTCGGACCCCCAGTCCAGTCAGGAAAACTTCAAACTATTGTGACGTGAACTGTGGGCCGTTGTCTGATACAAGGACGTCTGGTAACCTGTAGGTGGCGAATAGCCGTCGGAGTGCTCTTATGGTTGCCTCCGATGTGGTGGATTTCATTAGGATTACCTCCAGCCTCTTGGAATATGCATCGACGACTATAAGGAATGTCTATCCTTGGCAGGGCCCTTTGAAGTCGACGTGTGTTCTGGCCCACGGTGCCGTTGGTGTCTCCCACTTTCTGGGCCTCACTGCTGGGGGTGCAGGTCTGGTTTCTTGGCAGGGGGTGCATGTGGCGACCCAGGTTTCTATCGCCTTATCTAGCCCTGGCTATCACCCATAGCTTCTGGCTAGGGCTTTCATTCGGACCATTCTGGGGTGGCCCTCATGCAGCATCTCCAGTATTTTATTCCTTAATGGGGGGGGGGATAACTACTCGATCCCCCCATAGTATACAGCTCTTTAACACTGACAGTTCAGATTGCCTATTTTTATATGGCTGGTATTCTTTTCCTTGGACTGCCTCCGGCCATCCCCTCCACACCCCATTTGAAATCCGTGCCATGATATTGTCGCAGCTATGAGTCTTGCGATCTCTGATGACATCATCAGTCTAGGCATTATGCTTTCTACGAGCAGTGCTGTAGTGGATGGCGCTAGGTCTTTGGCTGGGTCTGGGAGGGGGCAACGGCTGAGGGTGTTGGCATGGGCGATGTTTTTTCCTGGCCTGTGGATTATGCAGTAACTGTATGCTGCCAGGAACACTGTCCATCTTAACATCCTGGGCGACAGGATGTTTGGTGTGGGTTTGTCACCGGCGAGGATGCCCAGGATGTGGTCGGTGATGAGGTCGAAACGCCTGCCGTACAGGTATTCGTGTAATCGCTTGACCCCTGCGGCTGCGGTAAGTGGTTCCTTGTCTATCTGGCTGTAATTTATTTGTGTTTTTGATAATGTCTTTGAGAAGTATGCGATGGGGGCTTTTGTCCCATTGGGTAATTTGTGGCTGAGGACCGCTCCGATGCTGTAGGGGGAGGCGTCGCATGTTAGTGTTAGAGGTAGCGTCTCGCTGTATTGGATGAGGATGCTGTTTGATGTTAAAATGTTTTTTATTTTTGTGAATGCATCGGCCTTACGTTGTCCCCAAGTCCAGCTTGTCGTCATATCGAGCAGCCTGTGGAGAGGTTCCGCAATGGTTGCTTTCTGTGGCAGAAAGACATTGTAAAAATTAAGCAATCCTAGGAATGCTTGCAGTTCCGCCTTGTTTTGTGTTGTGGGGGCTTCCCGTATTGCCTTAAGCTTTCTGTTTGTGGGTTGGATGCCTGCGGTGTCAATTAGGAACCCCAAAAATTCCACTTGTGGGACTGCTATGTGGCATTTGCTCCTTTTCAACTTCAGCCCCGCTTCCTGGAATCTTCCCAGGATTGCCCTTAGACACTTCATTAGTTGACCCTGCTACTGGCCGAGACGATTACATCGTCAAAGTAGGGTATGACCCCTGGGATATTGTGCAGTAGCCATTCCATGATGCTCTGGAAGAGGCCCTGTGCTATGCTTACTCTGAATTGCACTTGAATGCCTCCCGATGCGTGATATGGTTTGTGCCTCAGTGATTGTCTCGTTGACGGACAGTTGCTGATAGGTCTGGGCCAAGTCCAATTTGGCAAATATAGTCCCTCGGCCCAAGGAGTGCAGGAGGTGCTGAACTATGGTCACTGTTCAGGGTCATTTTATAGTCAGCACAGATTCTTATTGACCCATTTGGTTTTACTGGGATGATGATTGGGGTCTCCCATTTGGCATGGTCCAGCAGTTCTAGAACCCCTTGGGCTATTAGCTTATCTGGTTGCTCTTCGACTTTTGGGTGGAGGGCGAACGGAACTCGCTGCAGTTTGAGGTGGACTGGAGAAACATTTGGGTCTAGATTAAATGATATGGGGGTCCCTGTATACTTGCTCAGTTGGTCATTGAAGACGACACTGAATTCTTACTCCAACTCTGCGATATTTGTTGCCGGGCTGGAGGTGGTGGTCTTCGTCGTGTGGATGCCAGTGATGTTTATTTGGAGTGGTTAGAACCAATCTCTTCCAAGCATGCTGGGCAGGTCCCGGTCTACTATTGTGATTGGCAGGTTTCCCCGGAAAGTGTCATACTCCATGTGGGCTGTCTTCTTTCCCAGGACTGCCCATGAACGTGAAATGGGCTTCTTCTTCCCTGGCATCTTCCCTCTTTTTGAATTTCCCACCAGGGTTCTTCCGCTCCCCACCCTTGGCGGCCATATTGTTTCGCAGGCGACACTGCTCGCCTACCTTGCTTGCTGGTTGGTTGTGTTGTGCGGCATACTTCCGCGATGTGGCCTCTGCGCTCACATTGTCAGCATATGGTGTCTCGGAATAGGCATGCCGAATGGTGGTGGTTTCCGCCACAGCCGCCGCACTCTCTGTTTCCTGGTTTTCTGCCTGGCTTACCGGATTTCAGCTTATGTACATCTTCGTGATCATCATCGCTGGTCTCGGAAATGGATTTGCGTGGGTGCGGGTGGCAATAGGTCACGGTCACATGGACCTTCCCCATCCCTCGGATCCATGCCGCCGAGTTGTCAAACGATTCTGCAGTTCTTGCTTCATCAACTGCCTCTTTGAACGAAACATCCTCATGGACCAGAAGTTTCTTTTGCAGTGTGGGATCCTTCGTCCCCCGGATGATCCGGTCCCGGATCATCCCCTTGGTGTGTGGGAATCTGTGATTCTCCTCAGGTCTGCCACAAACATGTTCATCGTCTCTCCCTCTCTCTGGCTCTGCGTGTAGAAATCGTAGTGGCTGACCAGGTAGGAGGGAGAAGGGCCGTAATGCCCCCTGAGTGTGAGCTGGAGCTCATCCCAGGATACATTCTGTAGGTCGTCTGCAACCAAAGCGTCAGCCATTTCATAGATCTCGATGTCACAGTATGTTAAGAATAGTGCTTTCTTCTGTGCATCGGGGGCAGCTTGAAGTCCGTTGACTTCCAAATGCAGGTTGAAACGGCCCATGTAGGATGACCACTTTTCCTTTGCTGGATCGTAAGGGATGGCTATTGGACAGTGAGCCAGGCTGGTTGCGCGTTGTGCCATATCAGTTGGTCGGTCACGATCGTTCCGCGGGTTGGTAGAAATGGCATCTGAATCCCACGAGGTGTCTTTGTTCTCTCTGCAGTTCAAAATCCCACCATCATTGCCAGTGTTAGTGGGTCCACGTGTAATGAGAGGCTGGACACAGCAGGAACGGTAAGCAATCTTTATTTCAGGTTTAATTCAAAAAAGGTGCTCAGCTGCGGCAGGCGCTGGCTTTTAAGTCGGCGGTGTCCAAAGGTTCAGCCACTGACGGGACTTCGTTTTTCCCACTGTCTGAGCCAGTGAGTGGAATCCGTTAACCGATTCCACTCCTTGGCCTTATTTGGTCATATACAACAATCTTCTTGTTGGAGCAAAGGCAACATGATCTGATGGGGGAATCTGGTTTTTACTTATTGTTTTAAATGTTTCACATGGCATTTTATTGAATTTTACTGTGAGCTGCCTAGAGTCTCCTTGAAGAGATGGGTGGGATGGAAGTTTAATTAATAAATAAATAAAAAGCTTTATATCCTCCTGAGAAGTTTGTGAGGCTGAAGAAGTTGAATGGAAAAGAAAGAGATTTCTCCTCCTCACAGGACAAGACATCCATTCATTGTGTCTTTTTCTCCAATCCAGGAAGCAACCAGGCCGCTTAGCAGCCCCCTTGCAGGTGAGTGGACTGGTGGGGGCCACATGGGGTGAGAGGGAGGGAGGGAGGGAGGGAGGGGAGGTCTTTGGGGTCCAAGGACCAAGGGAGGGTGAAGATGCTTTGGAAATCCCTCTTCTCTCTCCTGTTCATCCCAAACACTAGAAGGGAAGGGATTTGGGGGAGAGGGCTCAATGGGAGGGGTCTTCCTGCCCCCAAACTCTGATCCTGTGGCACCTCTCAAGGTCTGCCTGTCTTGGTCCCACTAACCCTTGGGTGATATGGAGATTTTAATTTTGGGGAATTTTCAGCTTTCCCTTCTTGAGGTCTCTCTTGGGAAGATTGTTTGGGCTTCTCCTTCAATGATCTGCTCTTTCTCCCAATTCAGAACCAACCAATTCAAAATCCAACCTGGGGCTCATCATCGGCTGCGTTGTGGTTGCTCTTGTCCTGGTGGGTGTGATTGCTGGGATCCTGGTATTCTTCAGTAAGTGTCTTTTTTTGAGGGAGGGTGATGGAAGGACCCCCTTTGGGGAGCTTCTTCTGGGCTTCCTTCTGTCCTGTTTTC